CTCTCAAGATGGCAACGCTTGGGAATAAATGCTGAAATGATGCGGGGAGAGAGCTGCCACCAGGTAAGAGATCTCCCCTCTCTGCCTTGGCGCCGGCGCTTGGGCAGGCGGGATGCCATCCCACCGGGCGTGCTGCTGGGACGGGACGGCGTGGGGCTGGGGGACCAGGGGCCAGGCTGGGGTGGAGGTGGTCGAGTTGCATCCAGGCAGAGGGGAACGAAGCGTCAATGAACGCCATGAATAACGTAACGGAGAGGAATCTGGAAACTCTTAAAAGCTGAAATTCTCGCATAATCACCTGGCTCCAAGAGCCCAGGAGTTTGGAAAGCAAAATATTGATGACAGTACGTGGGCAGCCAGTTTCCCTGATGAACTGGAAAATCAGTTTTTCACTCATTCTGCAGTGAGACCCAGAGCAAACGGGTTGAGAAATTTCTGAACCTAAGAAGTTAGATAGTATGTCCTGATTGAAAGGGACTCAGGGTGGGAGCATCCCCTGATGCGTCAGAGCTGGAGCTAAAGACTTTCGCACTGAGTGGTCTCTGGGGAAATGTGTGTTTTTTCTTTAGGTTGTGGGTGTTCCTGGAAAATCAGGCTGAAAAGATCGAAGCAGAGCCTCTGGTTTCGCACTCAGCCTTTGGCAGAGCTTTATGAAATGGGACGTGCTGCAAGCCTTGAAGACGCAGGAACCACCCGGGGAATGGGCTTCCCCATGGAGCACCAGCCACCTCCTGAGGACCGTGGTCCTTTCCCAGATGACACCCAGCCCTACCTCCCCCCTCTTGCTCTCCTGGATGGATTGAGCCTCCCAGTCCCTCCTCAAGGAAAACATGCTTGGGAAATATTTCGACATGTATAAATAGATCCATAAAAAATAACGACGTGCCTGCATCCCAGGCAGGTCATGCCATTGCGAGGCAGGTGCTGGATGGGAGCTGAGCACTCACGTGGCCATCGAGATCCGGATCTGGAGGATTTGTACAAGGTCAGGACAAGAAACTCAGCGCAGAAAGCTCAGCTCTGATCTCTGAGGTTTGAAGCTGGGCTCTGCTCTTTGCCTCTCTGTCCTACAGGCGTGACCCTGTCTCTGTGGGAGTGAAGCGGTTCACCCTGCGTCGTGTTTTCCAAGATAGCGGTGGGGTTGCTGTTCTCCAAGCCAGGCTGGTTCTCTTCCTGTTTTCTCCCAGGGAAGGCACTTTCCCAATTTCCAGCCATGTGAGGGAGAAATAATTCAGGTGCTGGGTTCGAGGTCTGCGCTCTCAGGACAGACAGTCCCAGCTTTCTCCGGAGCAGATATTTGGATGGTTTCAGGTTGCTCTCGCCCACCTCTACACAAGGTAAAAAAACAGCAGGTAAGGGTTGCAACCCTCTTTCATGGACTTTAAATGCTGAAACAAGGGAACATCTCGCTACTGACCGTGAGATGCCTGTAAAAGTCGCCAGGATGCATTTCATGAAGTCGTGGCCAACAGCTGATGCTGAAGGCACAGGAGCGTAGAGAAGGGGAGATTTCCTTCACTTGAAGATACTATGATACTTCTCAAAAGTGTCATTTCAAATAAATCATTCAAGGCCAGGCTGGATGAGGCTTTGGGCAACCTGGGCTAGTGGGAGGGGTCCCTGCCCATGGCAGGGGGTGGCACTGGGTGGGCTTTAAGGTCCCTTCCCACCCAAACCATCCTGGGATTCTGTGATT